AAGAGTCTGTCATGTGACCCTTTAATATAAAAGTTACCTGACCGTTATGAAGGTTATTCAAGGTCTTTCCACTTCAGAGTACGCCACACTCTTAACTGACAAATTCCTAACCGAAAATTTTGTCTCTGATGGGTGTACCGTGCCGGCAGTGGTATTCCTACTTTCACAGTTTTCTGTTGATTGTCTCAATGCCGAACTTTCCCAAGTGTACTGGAATGCTATTGTGGAAACGTGGAAAGGAATTACCGTAATTTCCGTCCATTTACCCGCACGGCAGATTACCCGCATCGGTCAATTTTTGCAATAACGAGAAAACAATTTCAAAAGATTACCCGCACTGGCAGATAACTCGCACCCAAAAACAAAAGAAAATCGTCGACTCGCACATAGTTCCTTCATTGTTTTTGTTGACAGGATATCCTTTAGCGTGCAATAAATAAATTTCACACTTTTTGTCTTAGCTGTTTCATTGAGAATGATACCACTTGTAAAAATCTGTTCTAAAAAAATCGATATCTCGAGATTTATAAGTCGAAGAAATCCCTTGAAACGGGAAATTACTCTTAAACTCAAGGCAATGCTAGCTAAGAAATTTCACTGATGCGTCGAAAAGTCTTTTGCGTCATTGATTATGCGGCGGCACGAAATTAACCTGTCAGCATCATTTTCCGTGTGAATTGCCCTGAAGCCAGCTTTTTCACAATTAAATTCTTTTATCTGCAAGTTCATTTCCCCTGTAAGTGAGAATCGTTTTTTGAAATTAAAAAGAAACAAGCTGTGAAATTGACAAGGTAAGAAAGTAAGAGTACAAACAAGATAAGAGCTTTGTTTTCGAGTTTTGTATGTTTTCGATTTGCATCGGCTTTCATCGAAAGCATTAAAGTCTCTTATTGTAACGAGCAATCTGCGCGAAATAAATGAGTTGTTACAGAGGTTTTTTTAAAGAGTATCTTTATTGGATCTTATCATCTCTGGTTTTTTCCCGTTTATAGTTTTAAAACTTTACCAGAAGCTTTAAAAGTTGTCTTATTACCCGCACCTTCCTATAACCCGCATTAACACCTGTTTGTGGAAAAATTAACATATTACCCGCGGGTAATCGGCCGGAAATTACGGTAATAATTTACTTGCACGCAAACCAAAGAAAAGTAAATCCATTACTTCCATTAAAGATCCTTCGGATTCTGACAAAGTTACCAGAGACCCTATCAGTATAGCTAATGTTCTCGACAAACATTTTGCCTCTGTTGGACCAACTCTAGCAAATAACCTGCCACCCGCTAACTGCTTTTATGTTGACTTTCTTAAGAGAATTAACTCAACTGATTCGTCGTTCGCTTTTAACCTAGTTACTCCAAAGGAGGTAAGACTAGAAATTTCTTGCATACCAAAAAATAAATCTCATGGCTTATACTTGTGTCCGACGCAGATATTAAAGTGCTCTTCAAATCTTATAAGTGGCATTCTGGCGGATATTCTAAATACATCTATTTCAACTGGAGTTTATCCCTCTAGGCTAAAAATGGTAAAGATTATTCCGATATTCAAACAAGATAATGATACTGACGTTAACAATTATAAGCCAATCACTCTGCTTTCTAATTTCAACAGGATCTTTGAAAAAATAGTGTTTAAAAGAATGGAGTCTTGAGTCTTGCTCACTCCATCTCAATATGGCTTTCGCAATGCACATTCTGCTCAGCATGCAATCCCAGATATTTTGAATGCAATACGGACAAATATGAACAACCGTTTATTCTCATGCGGGATTTTCATTGATCTGAAAAAGGCTTTTGATACTGCAGATCACGAAATTCTTTTGCGCAGGTTAGATCACTATGGTTTTCGCGGCATTATACACATCTAATTTCCTTTCTACTTACAAGGGCGAACTCAAACAACTCAAATTGGTCCTCATATTTCTGAAAGGTTAGATTCTACCTGTGGAGTGCCTCAGGGTTCTGTTCTAGGCCCACTGCTTTTTTTATATATCAATAACATACAGGAATCATCAGATAAGCTTAGTTTTACCTTTTTGCGGATGATACAAATTATATTTTGCCCTGCCCAAAGGAAACTTTCTTATCAACCTAAAATCGTGATATTAGATAACAAACAGAACAAGAAGGTGGCTCTGGAGTATAAAGATTATGTCAAATATCTCGGGATTTTAATTGAAAAAAATTTGTCTTGGAAACACCATATTGAACATATAATCATTAACGTAAGCAGAACCGTAGGATTAATCGCAAAATTACGACACTTTCTGCCAACGCATACCCTCTTAAATATATACCAAGCTCTTATAGCTCCTTACTTAACATACGGTCTGACAGTATGGGGTCAGGCTTGTGAATCTTACCTTGACAAGCTCCTAAAGTTACAGAAACGAGCTCATCGCTTTATCTACTTTTCTGATCATAACGAGCATGCAATTCCTTTATTTGATAACGCTCATATCTTAACGCTAAAATTTGTTCATTATGAATCTTTAGCTAATTTGATGTTTGACGTTTGAAACAGAACAGCTCCATCCAATATTCAAGATCTATTTCAAGATATATCTAATGTTCATTCTTACAATATACTGCCGCTTCCTCTAATAACTTCTATACCAAACCTTCTAGGCTATCCGTTCAAGCGAATTCCTTCTCTCGGAAAGGAGTAAAAGTGTGGAATGCTATATCTCAAGCATTAAGAAATCTTTCCAAAAAATGCGTTTAAAAAAAAACTCGAACAAATTTTATTCAACATATCAGGTTCACAAGACTCTTATATAGATTTATCTTAGATTACACAAAATGTAAATCCTGGTAATACTTCTGCTGATCTGTCCTGACTATTTTTATAAACAGCAGCTGTACTTTTAATATTTTAAATCAGGGCAATGCAACGGTTTTTCTTGTTGTTATTCAATACTGTCTCTTTTCCTTCTACTTTATTAGTTAATATCTATTTTTAATATATTTTTGTAACTCGGCTATCAAAGCATACTTAATTCAAAAATACTTAATTCTTTTAAAAAATAAATATCTTCTTTAAGAAAAAGTGAAGC